TATGTGAACTGCTGTATGGAAAGTGAATTTGCTCTGTAAATCTTCAGCCAAATCACAGTGGGGAAAAAAAAAGCAAGCTTCTGAAAACGCTCTCAGGGGACTATCTCCTCCTTTAATTCCAGGGAGAGCACCATTTGTGTTATACTTTCCATGAGCCAGTGTATTGGGAGGGGGGCAGCACGACTGAGCTGGGGTTGCCAACTTTTTATATTGTCAAGTAAAGACTTTGAAAAACCAATGTATATCAACTATCATCATTATTTCATAAGAGAAAGATGTTTAAACAGGAAAAAAAAAAAATCACAGTAAGACCACAAGAAAACAGTTGCCATAGAGTCAATTCCGACTCACGTATGGATCTAGGAGCAAGATGGGCAACACCAAGCTCTTTGCTATTTCTCACCTAGTCTTAGCCAGGGTTTTCCAAACTTGGGGCTATTGATATTTGGGAGCCAGCTCATTCTTTGCTATGGGTCTGTCTCGTGCATGGCAACATATTTAGCAGCATCCCTGGTCTCAGTCCATTAGATGCCAGTAGCACACCCACAACCCCCACCCCTGCTCCAGTTGTGACAACTAAAAATGTTTCCAGACATGGGCAAGTCTCCCTTGGGGCTAATGTTGCTCTCTCTCCATATCCAGAATCACTGTGCTGGTGGGAAAAGGACAGTACTTGTGCAAGCTGACCCAGGATGGCTGCTTTGAAATGGTGCCACCACAGCCCAGAAGGTTGAAATGCAGCTACAGCATGCTTCCTAAGAAGTTCCACCACTGCAGAAATAATACTTTTTCAAAGAGACTAATGAAGGGCAGTGGTCACCCCTGAAGACTTTTTTCATAAGCACTCTACCCTGTTCACAAACACGTCCTCTGAATATTCCAAAGGTTATTCACTGTGCACCAACACCATCTCTAGAAAACAAAGAACTCACTTGCTGTGTTTGGTAAATGCCACAGCAAAATATAAAGCAATTATGGTCCTGTAGAGCAATGATCCATTTTCTGCGTTTTAATACAACACAGCAAATTCCAGCACCCACACGGCACGCTTTCAGTAGAAACACACAAGAACCAGCAGAGGACTGCTCAGAGGACACAACAGCCACTCACAAAGGCCAGCAAGCTAGAGTGGAGGAATGCATGATAAGTGAAGAATGTGACCACAGAGCTAGCCAGCCCGGCTGAAGGAACTGTGCAATGTTCCATGGGGACATTTAACGCCCAACACTAGGACATCATAACAAGCAAGGAAGAATGGCTATAAGCCCCCCCTGCACACATAAGTTAGTTTGCCCTGCAGGAGGGAGTCATATGATCTGATTTCACTGCTATTTTTACATTTTCTAAAAAGCCAGCAAAGTGGATTCCCAGACACTTGTGAACGATCAGCTATACTGAGTTTTCCAGAAAAGATCTCCCTCACCCTGGCTAGTCTTCTGCTCTTCCCCTGTCCCAACGCAGTATTTCATTTGAGACTAAAGAAATGTTAAACAAAAAAATATGCTTCCTAGTTTTCAGAAGGGCATATTTTAAAATTGTGTGATTTTAAGACTCTTTCCAGAAGGTACAAAAAAGAGAAAGTCTCTAAAAAGCAGACATTAAACCCAGGGAAGGCTCAGGATATTGAAAACGAGGCCCTAGGCCCAGGCTGGACCCTAGATGGAGAAAACGGTTAAGCGCTCAACTACCATATTTTTGTGCAAACAACATGGTTTTTTTTTTTTTTTTTTGCCACATGCCGTCCATTTTTGAGGTATATTCATAAGCATTCTATGTCAATTTTCTTGTACAAAATTAGCATCTCACTGCCGTCGAGTCGGATCCAACTCACAGCGACCCCTCCTTGGGTTTCCGAGGCTGTATCACTATGGAAGTAGATCGCCCAATCTTCCTTCTGAAGAGTGGCTGGCAGGTTTGAATCGCCAGTCTTCTGGTTAGCAGTCAAATGCCTTAGGCACTATGCCACCAGAGCTCCTCAAAATTAGCATAGTGCACTTATAAAAAATACCTTAAGGGGATGTGGTTGGCAAACAAAAGTCAAAGGTGCAAGTTATTTGTGTAAAAATATCATACTAGTTAAAAGGCTAGCGGTTCGAATCTCACCAGAGGTGCTTTAGAAGACAGTGCTGGCAATCTGCTTCTGAAAAGTCAGCCCTGAAACTCTATGGAGCGCAGCTCTTCTCTGTACACATGGGGTCACCATGACTTAGAATCAACTTGACGACAACTGACAACAACAACAACAAGGTCCAGGAGGAGAAACACGATCCACTAAAACTCCTGGCTATGTAAGGAACACGCCACCTCCCAATTTTGCCCATGTCCTGATAAAACTGTAGATAATCACATATTGGAACTCTGCTAAACCACTTTCCATAGGATAAACAGGAAGTAAGCAGAGGCAAGATTTGAAAGAGTTTCTTACCTCTTTCTGGCTTCTTCATACTGCCAGTTAAGTCGGACTCGGTCCACAAGTCTTGTTTTATCATCAAAGACAAACTTTCAGGAAGAGAAGCAGAAAAAAAAAAAAGAGGAAAACATATATTAAAAACATATTTTTAATATGACATGATAAACGTTGAAAACATTATGCTGAGTGACAGGTCAGACACAAAAGGACAAATATTGTATGACCTCACTTTTGTGAAGTATCTAGAAAAGGCAGGTGTCTAGAGACCAAAATGGTTACCAGGGGTGGGAGGGAAGGCGGAGGAACAGGGAGGTAGTGCTTCACAGGCACTGAGTTTCTGTTTGGGAAGACGGAAAATGGTGAGAAATGGATAATGGTAATGGGTTAATAACACGGTGAATGTAAGTAGTGTTTGTACTGAATTGTACATTTAAAAAGGGTTAAAATGCCAAATGCTTTTATACACACACACACACACATTTACATGTCTATCTACAATCAATTTTAAAAAACTGTATTTTCAAAATAGAAAATCCATTTCAAGTTTTAGTAACAACGGAGAATCTTCTTTTACTTCCATTTCAGTTTGTAAAAGGTCTAGATGGAAGCCCACCAGACCATTCTCTGCAGAGGCCTGTGGCTGGTGGGGCTGGAGGAGGGCTGGAATACTCTTGCTTCCCCCAAGCTGATGGATCATTTTTTTTTTTTACAGTAGAAGTGTATCCCTCTATTGTGTAATTCCCAGCAACAATGACAAGTGAAGACTGAAAAGAAATAGTGATATAACATGGGTGAACCTCAAAAACTTCATGCTAAGTGGAAGAATCCAGATCCAAAAGGCCACATAGTTGATGACTCCATTTGTATGATACAACCAGAATTGGAAAATCCAGAGAGACAGAGAGCAGATTAGTGGCTGTCTAGGGCTGGGGGCTGTAAGGAACGGGGAATGATTGCTTAACAGGTATGGGGTATTCTTTCAGGGTAATGAAAATGTTTGGGAACTAGATAGAGGTGGTACTTTCACAAAACTGAATGTACTAAATGCCACTGACTTAGAACGTTTAAACTAGTTAATGGTTATTTTTAAGTTACATGGATTTCACCTCAATAAAAGAAAACCAAAAATGGAGAATTACTTAGTAAAAGGTGATACAAAGGCAAAAATGTAATCCCATTTTGGGCAGCACAGTCTCCAGCTCCTCAACAGATCTAGGACAATGGTGTTCTACTCAGAAACCATAAGATCTGAAGAAGGTACGACAAGCTGTGTGAGGGGTGGGCTGGAGGACTCCTTCCAATGTAACACAGCATATCCCAAAATGAAAGGTAAAAGGAAAGAAAGGGATTGGGAGTATCACTCAGGAGCTTGAATTTAAAATGTGGTGCTCAGAACACACCCCGTAGTTGTGCTTAAATAATTTTCCTACCAGTAACACAGAAGCAAACCAAATCCTATACAAAACCAAAAGGATCTGTTTGGGAGGTAATCGTAGCTTACCCAGGTCACCACTTCCTTCGTTCTTAGGAATAACCTACAACTCTATTTTCAATAAACTGGCTCCATTGGTAGATCTACTAAGTCTTTTTTTTTTTTTATTGCAGTAAATTAAAAACAAACAAACAAACCCCAAACTCACTGCCGTCAAGTCAATCCATGTAACAAAACATTTGCCAGTGACGTTAACTATGCTCATCATGTTGTGCAACCATCACCATTATCTGTTTCCCAAGTTTTCCATCATCCTTAGCTCAGTGCCTCCTAAGCAGTGAGTTGCCCTCTCCCCCTACCTCCATCTGGCCCCTGTAAGCACTAATAAACTCTGGACTCTATATACTTGCCTATTTGAGATATTTCCTATGAGTAGGATCATACAATGTTGTTGTTGTTATGTGCCGTCAAGTCAGACCCGACTCATAGCGACCCCTCCTTGGGTTTCCAAGGCAGTATCACTACG